ATGAGGAACGCTGACCGGGGTCGGATCCTGTTTCATTCGCTGTGCGACTATTCGGGTGAGAGTGACGTACAGTGGGCCAGCCAGCGTGGCGACCACAGCGGCAATCTTTCCTGGGAGTTATTCTGCCTCGAGCGCGGCATCACACTCGATGTACACACTCCTTCGGGTAGGATGCTCGGTGGCGGAGATGACACTTTGGATAGGTTCTTGAGTGAGGCAGGGGCTGGCGAACACGGGTTCTGCTGTTTAGTGGTCGTTTTCGAGCCTGGATTCGGTGATGATCCGCGGAAAGTGCCGACGAGGGACTCTGCTCACATCCAGTGCGTTGACTCGGAAATCGTTAACGGAAAAGATCCCCAGAGGACGACCATCTTTGACCCAGGTGGCTTGGTCATCATGTGACATCATAGTTAGCACGCTGCAAACTACCAGTGTGGCCTTTGCAGTATCTGGGTAGAGGGCAAACTTCGCCCAGTGCTGCGCTGCACTGCCGGTTCGTTCCCTTTGTGTGGTTGCGCTTGCGAGGAGGAGACAGCTTTTCATGTCAAAGGCGTGCGCTGGTTGCATTTCCCCTCACAGCCGCTCTTCTGTACAGGTCTTGTCGCACAAGTTTTTCCTGCGTGCGGCACTTGTTTCGAAATGCAGAAGACTTTCAAAAGATCGCTGCGGTCCGTCAGGAGGGGGCCACCGCCTCATTCAGGTGGCATGCGTCCGAGTGCATACCACGTGTATGGATCGTGGATTTCTGCTCCGGACTTCTGAACTTTAATTAGGTGCAATCCACCCTTGAATTCAACTGTGTTTGTTTGCATTAGGCACGTCCTTTGGACCTTCAGCCTGCCCGAAAGAAAAAAATATATATATGCGCATCATCATGTACTATATATTCATAGATGAGCCGTTAGACATACATCTCTGCGCATACTGCAGTGCATGAACAACGTGACACACGCATACCTATGCCTGTATGTATGCGTGTGTATATATATATATATGTATATACAAATATATGTATATATATATATATACATTTATTTATGTAGTTATTCATTACTTATGTTTATAAATATACTATTCATATATATATATGGGTATATATATATAGAGACACATATGTACACATGCGTGTTTAACAAGTTTTTTCAACAAAATATAACTATACATATATCTAGACATATATATATACACATATATGTAGATATATATGTACATGTACTTGGCCTTTTTTTGACGATACCTTCTACATGCACATGTCCAACTCCTGTGCTTGACATGTGGGTGAAGTCTATCTAGGCCATCTATGCGGTCATCTATCTTGTCTATGTTGTTTATCAACATGTCTCTGTAACTTCATGAGCAGGTATGCTTAGTTTATTCAAGAGGTGTTTCATTGTAGTGCTCTTTGAAAAGTATACAAGCACACAGAGACGGGGAGAGGAGACCTGAAACAGTTTCATCTTCACACTGGGATGCACAAAAGGTTAATTTCTACAAACTCATGTGGAGTGTACGTCATAAACTCATGGCAGGACAAGTAGTCCTCGACGTCACGTTCGGTTGTTAGAACGCTCGAAGAATCAGGGACCCTTGTGACCAGATGTGCAGCCAGGCGCACAATGCGCCTTGGAGCAGGTTCAGGCGGAGGCCGAAACAGATGAGCTACGATTACTTCCCTCCCTCCCTGACTCCTGCGGCGAAGACATCAAGCTCCCGACCTGAGTCTGTCGGTCCTCGTCTTTGGCATGGGGCAGCCAGGCCTTTGTCTCAAGCCACATAGGCGGACAAAGTTTCGTCAGTATCGCGGACTTCCGGTCCGACTGTTTTGGGGACCAAAACATCCCTGAAGAAGATTGTGCACGATGTTGAATTCAAGGAGGATGGTGTGGGCTTGCCAACGAGTGACTTCGATTCTGAACTTGTCCATTCCTGCTCCTCCGGTCGCAAACCGACTGCGATCCCATGACAGCGGCACGAAATCGTCTTACTGCAAACACCCGTCAGGCGTGTAGTTACAGAACAAGACAGAAGATTGGGCCATCTGCCAGCTGCAGGCTTTGTCTCACCTTTAGCACCTCGGGTTTCAATTTAAGCGTGAGTGCAAAAAGGAGTCTAGTGAGCGACCTACTGCTGTGCATTGTTGTTCTGACGATCAACTTCAACCAGCATGGAGCAAACATGAAAGGCTGTCGAAGCGAGTAGCCCCCATATTCAAGCGCGATTTAAGCTCCGAAATGTGCGACATGATGGCATGAAGCCGCGAAAGCTGATGCAGCATTGGCTTTCTGTCGTTTTGCAGCGCGTTGGCGAAGTGGGGTCCGTGCTACGGAGATGACAGAAATGATTGGTGCAAGAGTCTAGAAGTAGATAGAAAGTGCGGCTGGGCAGTGGAGGATGAGGATCCCGTTCTGCAGCAGTCACGCGCCATAGGTGTCGCGTGGACAACAGACTGAAGCAGAGATGCAGTGTCTTGCGTTTGTCGTCGCCAAAGTCACAGTGGTGTGTTTACCGGTATGATCACCGGCGCCGCCGGCACCATCATCGCTGCTTCCGACGTCACAATACTTTCATGATGATAATGCTGGTGATGTGGACCAGATATTGCTCATGATGTTGCTGATAGTGTGAATGAGGTCGACAATGACGAAAACAAGGTTACCAAAAAGAGAAGATCCAGAAACAAGAATTTGGAGCAGCTGCGACGGCAGCAACAGCAGGAGCTGACGTAGTCGTCGCAGTACGAGCAGCGGCCGCTGTTGCAGCAGCAGTGGCAGCATCAGCACCCAGGTAGTCGTTGTACTGGTAGAAACAGAAACAGCAGTAGCTGTAGTAGCAAAAACAATACATAAGCAGCGTGGCAGCAGTGCAGCAACAGTAGCAGGAGCAGCGGCAGCATGGGCAATGAGAGTTTCAATCCATGCTCCCGCTCGTTTCACGGTCCCCTAACCAGGCTCTACCTGAATCCAGAAGCGGAGTTTCGAAGAATCAAGAGTCAAGAGTTACCGAGCAAAATAAACTGAAGCCCAAAGCAGAACTGGGAAGGTGATGACTTGTCGACTTGGATGAGGCCTCCTCGGTCTTTGACTTCTCATGACAGCCACTGCCAGCGCGAGGGTTTTTCATTCTGCTGCAGCTTGCTAAGACTGGCAAGTTCTGATCTTCATGGAAAAATGGTTGCCACTGCCGGTATGAATAAAAATATATTTCGATTAGTCCGATCCTTCGTGTTAGTGCTTGTACTTTTTTGCTTCTTAAAGACCACGTCTTCAGGGTTAACGTCATTCATATTCTGTGAACCATCTTTACATCTTTAGCATTGAAATCACAACTGTCACGGTCAGTCCTCGTGGTGCTTTGCCGTTCTCATGCAACACTGGTCTCGCTGCACTTGTTCTGCATTCACGGGGTGGTGGCAGAGTCGGAAGCAGCTGTTGCAGTGGTTGTTGTTGTGGTTATGGTCGTGGTAGTTGATCTTGTTGGTATTGTCATTAGTCTGCTTCTTCTTCTCCTTGGTGGTGGTGGTGGTGGTGGTGGCCGTGGTGATTGTTGGGTATTCTTGTCATGATTATGCGTTTGTTCCGTGTCGTCGTCGTCGTCGTCTTATCCTGCTTCTGTTCGTTCTGAATCTTGTTGCTGTTGTTGAAACATGTTCACGTGATTTTACAATTCAGCTTAGAAGGGGATACCGTTTGCAGGAAGCCTGGCTGTTTTGACAGTTCAGGATGCAAGGTGTGGGGTCGGGGGTGGTGCAACGAAGGTCAGGTTTATCCTGTCACTCGCAAGCCCCTCAGCCCATGCTCCTGGCTTGCATCCCCCGAAGCGAAGCCCGGAAATCCCTGAGACGCACAATCGAAAGTTCTACCAAGAGCAATTAACAGACACTGCCTCAGGTTTCTGACGAAGAGGGCACCGAGTGAGCAACAGCTGGGCCTCTGTCTGGTGCGTGCTTGACGGCGTATTTTTGATTGTCAGAAGTTGAATTGAAAAACTTGAGCTTTAGCTGCCTTCGCTGTGGTTGGTACATGTACGGGGGAAAAAGTGCTGACGCCCACAACCCCTCGACCCGTCTCCTGAACTCCGCACTGTTATTGCCCCGAACACTGAACCGAAAGTGTTTCTTGACAGTCTTTACAAGGACCTGCCAGTTCCTCTGGCCAAACATTGTCGCAGCTGGCGAAGGCGGGACAACTCATTGCGACTTGTATCAGAATGTATTTCGACACTGTAGGGATAGATGTCATGCCGCCAACGATTTGCGTTCTTCATGTATGAGGTTTGCACATGCACCTCTTCGCATGCCGACACATCTTATGGAGTTCAAGGTTAAGCAGGACGCTGGCGGCTGAGAGGCATTCGATGCAGGGTCTGAAGTGAATACAGTGGCATGCGCATGCATGCATGTACGTGCTAGTTTGCTCATGTAAGTGAGGGCAATGCGAACGACGGAAAGACAACAGATTCAGATTCCTTCCCACTCATCAACCTTCTTGGTCGCGAGGTTTTGAAGACTGCAACGGACGCTGCACACGACCAAACACGAGAAAGCCGAGTGGTGTCCACATCACCACAACGTAGCCAAACGGAAAGAGTCGTGGAGGTTGATTGGCATCTGCCCAATCTGCCAAGACTGTATCTACAGGGCTTTTTAGGGTTTAAGATATTAGGGGCATTGGGGCCAATATAAGCCCTAAACCGTCCTGACTGGAACAGGGAGGACAAGAACCGTCAAAGAAATGAACGCCGTTCCGGTTCACGGCTGTTCCTGCGTCACGGCCTTTTTCAGGCCGTCGGGCCTGCCGAGGCGTGGAAGAGGCGCCTCTTCGCAGATGCGATCTTCGTGGGGGTTTCAAGACTTCTAGACTTCAGATTCAGGCCTGTCTGATGATACAGGATAGCAAATAAAAGAGCTCAAGCTAATCGATATCATGATTACCACCGCCACCGCTACCACCACCATCGTCGCGACGGAAGGCACAAGAATAGTACCAGAAGTACGAACAGCAAGGGAAGAAGCGACAGCAGCAGCAGCAACAGCAGCAGCAGCAGCAGGAGCAGGAGCAGGAGCAGGAGTAGGAGTAGTAGTAGTTGTCGTCGTCGTCGTAGTCGTAGTCGTAGTCGTAGTAGTGGTCGTCGTCGTCGTAGTAGTCGTAGTAGTCGTAGTCGTCGTAGTCGTAGTCGTAGTCGTAGTAGTAGTAGTAGCAGCAGGAGTATGATGCAGAACAAGAGGCCGTGGAGCCGGACGACGCTCCAAGAAACTTGCTGCCGCCCAGGCCATAGAGAGCTGGACGGCCGACACAGAGGCGAGGTTCGAGGATTTGACCTCAAAACTGAAGGCAAGCCCATAGTTGAGGGGTTGAGGCCCCTAGCCAGGCCTCAAGTATATTTGCCGAGAGCGCCCTGAGTTTTGTCCATCGGGAAGGCTGAGCAGCCCACGCCGGGAATTGATGTGCGGAAGCCTGAGATTGCCGAGGATCGGGTGCGAGGTTGCAAGAGTTCAGGGTCTTGTAGAGTATGGTATGCTGGAAATAGACAGCCCCAGTCAGAACAGAATTTCCGTCTACCCAGTACAGCCAAATACCAAGATGAAGAAGCTAGGAAGGCCTCTAAATTATAGCTAACGAGTGCTAGCATCAACTTGCCTCCGGCTGGGAATCGGAGCACGCGAGCTCGCCAGGAGCTTCTGAACCGGGAGCTCGACGAGTCTTGGTTCGAGTGGCCGAGGCCAACCTGGGAGACGCTAATGTAGGCGCCTGAATAACTAGTTATACGATTCTTATTAGTGTTCCTGGCTCTAGTTATAGTACCTCAAAACCCTATTCGAATTATTAAGGCCCCTATAGCGATGATACATGCTAAGCTGCCAAGTAATGGTGTCGAGGATATCAAGGCGGCAATACTGCAAAGGATGACGATGACGGCTGTCCCGCTGGCAGCGCTGATGGTCACCGTCAGGGTTACGATTTTGATTTTCCATGCTGGCGGAATTGCGACAGCAAACAAGTGTAAAGAACGGTTGCCAACATCGCATGACCTGTTGCCTTTCACCCGGCAGGCAGCCAACAGCGGAAAGCCTGGCACCATGTTCGCCAGAGTTTTTACTGCCTTATGTTATGCGTGCTTCTTTGTGATTGTACGGACCTGCCGGCATCTCTTGAGGCGCACACCACTTCCTGAAGAAGCTATCCGGCGGCAAAAACCTATGCCTCCTTGTTTGAAGCTGTGCTGCCAACAGCTTCCGCGAAGGTTGCGGATGGGCTGGAGCAGAGACACCAACACCAACGGTGAGAGCAGGCCATCAGCAGGGTCACCAAGGGCAGACCGACTGACAGGCCAAACATTGACTCTCGCTTGACTCCCAACCGATCAAGACCCATGCTCAGGTCGTCGGAATGCTGCTGGATATCGACGGCGCCACCCTAAAACCCTACTGCGCGGAAGCCTTAGCTCCACAACCCCGCAGCATAAGACACGAAAGGCTTCGTGTTAGCATGGGAACCTTCTAGTGAACTCGGACGTGTACTATAAGGCGGGCCGGAAGCAATTCTCCGAAAGTCTTGATTTTGTGCAGAACTGTTGTTTCGGACCCTGCTTTCTGTGCATGAAGCCTTTGCCTTTGTGGATGAGGCCTCCCCTCTCTCGCCACCAGCAAGGCATATTGCTGACCCAGAGGCACGCAACAGAAGGGGTTGATCGCTCCGAGGTCGTGAAAGGCTCACGGCTGATATCACAGCTCGTCCAGACGAATCCCACAAGCCTTCACCGCCCACAGATCCCAAACTGTCTCTCCCTCTAGACTGCTGCTTTCGGCATCCCAAATTAACCTTCACGGCAATCCGAGAAATGCCTTTGGCTTTGGCCAGGTTTGTGTGACTATCCTTGGTGGGCCAAAGGGCATCTCACCCAGGTTCAAGGCTTGGGAAGTTTGTCGGAAACCTCTGTGCTACAGGTGCTCCTAAGCATGTCCAGCAGTCAGGATAGGCAGTGCTAGACAAGGCATTGTCGAACTAGCAGAAGCACAAGGTCATCGACGGACTGTAGAGGCTTTCTCTGCTATTCGGCCCTTAGAAGCAGATATAGTGCAAATTCCATCAACATGCAGCGTGTGACGGTGTTGATTTCTGCCTCAGCGGCACTGCATTCCAAAGCCCAGCCTTGATGGCAGCTCGGATGCCCAAATCAAGCGGAAGGCTTGTCTGCAAGATGTCTTTGGCACGCTGGCCGTCCCGTTGCTGAAGGCACCGACACCTCACTTGCTTTCTAGTTCTTCCTCAACTTTGTCTCGCAGGTGCGGCTTGGCCCTGAAGAAGAGATGGCGCATGCCTGCCGGTGCCTTGGAAATTGGAGTCTGCACTGTGACGTTGCCCCATGACCACACCAGCTCTAGGTTTGGCATATTTGCGGCTACAGGAGCCCTGCGCCTGACCTGTCTCGTCTGCGTATCACATCAAAGTCGCGGGAGTCTACCCCAAAGCCCAGCCCAAGCTGCAGGATGACGCAGGCCTTCTCAAGGCTGCAGTCACTGACCTGCTCCGTCTCGGGAACCCGCCTCAGATGATTCGTCAGATGCATGGGGTGACAGACGCAGAGAGTTCTCACTTTTCAGGCCCTCGCGATATGCATCCCTCATCGCCTCGTCCGAGCGTGCGCTTTACAGTCTGGCAAGGAGGCTGCGCCTTGCACAGAAGGCCTTTGAATCAGCGCTCGCAGCCGAAAGCCGAGACACGCCCAACTTACAGCACAGCAAACCCTGAAATGTTCAGAATTTGAACCCCATCTAATCGACTCCAGTCCTGAACCGTTTGGCGCGACAGTAGGAGAAGCCAGGATCGCACTCCGCCGATTTCAAGGCAAGCCGGTGGCGCAATGCCGCAAAACGAGGCCGGCATCATAGAATGGACGGCGAGTAAGGCAATGGGTTCTTGCACTAAGAACCTAGCGGTAGAACAAGTTCAGTATACTTCTGTCGTGGTACGGGAAGCCGGGAAGTTCACCATGTTCTGCAGAAGCAGGGTGCATGGCCTCTTGCCAGGACAAAGCATCGAAGTCGAGAAGCGACGCGCAGAACGAGAGCAAACGATGCAAGCCGGAAATCGAGTCTGTGCATACTGTGTGCAGCTTCATGTGGGTTGTAGCTACAGGCACTGCCCTCGTTGCACGTGGAGTGTCTCACATATTCCCTCATGGCCGCAAATCTTCAATCATGCAAGTCGGCTGCGACAACAATACCGAAGACCTAAGTTGCCTCCCGTGTCAAGGCAATCATCACCAAAGAGTCTAAGTCTGTGCTGATGTGCACAGACCACCGAGCCAGCATGCAGGAAAGCACTTAGCTGCACAGCAATGAGCGCTCGCCATGCTATGTGCAGAACCCCGAGTGCCCAGCCGCTTGAGTCGAAGGGATGTTTGAGGACAAGGTGCAGTTGCCCGAGGAGCCTGGGCTGTTCCGGGCTCCCATCACTAAGAGCGCCAAAAACCGGAGAGTCTACAGCGAGGCGCGAAAGTCCCTGGCCGTCCTACCATCCACAAGAAGCCTCCCCCGCAGTGGGGATTCCTCTGAGGACCTAGGCCCAGGTCCAGAAAATGCCTCCACACGATGGAGGCAGGCATCTACCGCGATCCTCAAGGGCATCCGGTCGACAAATACAGTTGAGAGCACTGCTGGGCTTCTGAAGTATTTCAGTGTTACCAAAGAGCTGAACAAAGAGCAGCTCCTTCACGAGAAGTTTTGTCACCTTGTGGCAGGAGGCTCAGCTGCTGTTGTCAGAACAGAAAAGTCAGAAAAGCCAACTAGGCTGCGTCTCAAATCTAAAGTCCACAGCGGGGTCGCAGGGATATGCGGAAGTTTTGGGGTTATCTCTGGCTTGAGGGCTGGGCATCTCTAGGGGCGACACATGGATATGCAGCACATGTTCTATCACCTCCCCAATCGCATGGCAAGTCTGAGGCAATCGATGGCTTGGAGGGCAGAACCGGCGCACGCTACAAGGAGGCAAATGCACTGGCGGCCAAATTTCGCGAGATCAAGAGCTCTCTGAACCCCAGAGAGCAGCTTGAGGCAATGGATGCTGCACAGAGCGCCTTGTCTGTTGCTGTTGCTTATGGATTGCTCTGCCGTGTGGTCCAGAAGCGTTTTGAGGAAGCCCTGCTATTGCCCAGGCATCCTGAACAAGCTGGAGCAGGTTCGGCAGCTTTTTGAAAGTAAAGGCCTCGACGCGGATGAAGCGGACGAGATGTTCGAGGACATCGACGACAGCTTGGATGACTTGAGGGATCTTTGTCATGCAAAGACCTTGAAAAGCAAGTTCCGGCAAGCCGGTCAGCAACTGATCATGGCGAAGCGCCTCTCCAAAGCAGGGCAGGAGCAAACGCGCAAGAGGCTTGTCCCTCGGATCCTGTTGAGAAACATGTTGGCGGGTACTGGACGACTCCATGACGAATGTGCTTCAATGTAAGACTGTGAATAGCCAAGGTAAGAGAGGCTTTTCAGCGGTCGGTTCGCAAAGCACAGAGCGTCCGCGCGCTGTTCCGGCCTCGAAAAGACTCTGTTGCTTCGGTCGAGAATGTTGCCAAGAGGGCAAGCTCCCCTACCTCTGAGTTGTTTCAGAAGCTGCAAGCCAGCCAAGAGGACTTCAAGAAGAGAAGCGCTGAGTGGAAGCAGAGCCTTGCTGAGGAGGTCATGGCCCTTGGTCAGCAGATGCCCACGTCACACCGATCTGGGCACGTCGTCCAAGCTCCGCCTAACACTCCCGGCCCCGTGGGGAACAACGAGGACAAGGTGACATCGTCCCCTTGCAAGGCACCGCCCTCTGCGCCCTTCGTTTTCTCGGCGGCGGTTGACCAACGCCGCAATAGCCTCAGTGAGCGCAAGCGACGCGATTCAAATTCTCAGGTGGCAATCACCTCCTTCGATTTCCTGTCGCAGGATCAGCAGCTGGACCGTGGCGCATTGGCTGAGAAAAGGAAAACAGTCCTGGCCAAGATGCAGTACATGCAGTGGCTGTGCGACAGATCAGGTGGTCAGGAACCCAGCACGCCGCAGGGTTTCCACGGCGTGTCGGCATTGTCCGGCCACAGGGCCAGAACTGGGCAGACTGGATCTGGAGCTGACTGGAGGGGATCGCCTAAGGCCAATGCCGGCAAGATCTCCGCTCCGACTATGTACGAGCTTCCGCCCCTTCCACACTCTCATGGTTTTGGGGCAGCTCCAGGACTCCTCTCACCTCGCCCACCACCCCTGGGTGCTCCGCAACAAGGCTTGAACAGCCCTGTCACACCACGCAGCCCACACACCCCAAGACTGGCCAGCCAGTTCTTCCGAAAGAGCACCGGGGAATTGCACAGCAATCCCCAACCTGTACTGCCAACCGCATCCCCAAGCGGAGGAGCCCAAAGCACGGGCACGAGTTTTATGCGAGCCAAGATTCCTTGGTCATCTTTCCGACTCGGCAACCCGCTGGCCAAGCTTTCGCCGACTGCCCAGAGTAAGGATGGCTCTGGCACCTTCGGAGGCGGAGTTGACCTTGGTGATGCTGCAGGAGATCCTGATGTGGAACGTGGTGGCGGTGGTGGCTGGGGAGATCCTTATCCGGTTGAAGCCGTGGTGCGCTCTGCTGGCAATGCCAAGGCACTGCCCAAACCCGAGGAGCCCTCACCGCGCCAAAAGGGCGCTGCAAAGCTGTCCAATGACATCGCAGCTCATCCAGAACTATCCCCTTTGCGCCATGCCACAGCTACAAGAACAATGCAGCCAAAGAAGCCGCCAGATCTGGATGCGCCAGCCGCTGCCAAACAGTCCCAACTTTATGCCATCCAACCCGTGCCTCCCACGAACCCCGAAAACTCACGCACAGCAAATGCCACAAGTTTCACCACGACTGCTGGCAAAGCCACAGCTCGCCCACCCCACAACCATTTTTCCGGCCAGAGCACCCCTAAAATCGAGAAAAGCCAGGAAACCTCAGTGGCAGGTTATCGTGCAAAAGCAGACCCACCAAGAGCTCCAAGCCCTTTGAGTGCACAGGGCCCGGTTTGCACTGCATGTTCCAGCGCATGAATTAAGATACCTGTGGAGCGCTGAGGATACGGAGGACTTTGAGAATGCCAATGGCGATCATGATTTGGTCCTAGCCTCAGGTGCCTGACAAATCTCGCGGACGCGACAAAGCCCGAGGTCGCGAAACAGTGGGACTCCTACGACACATACATGGCATCCAGCCCGGCGAATCCGAAGGACTGTGCCGGCACCAGGGCGCCAGTTCTTTCCCTGTGCCTCCACGAAGCCAAGTGTGCGGTCAGGACCTGTCTTCGCAGGGGCGGTCAGCGGCTCAAGGCACACGGACACTTCCAAGTCTTTGTTTTTGTCCAGCCTGTGCCCCTGGCTTTCGCAGGCCGCTCTCGCCAGCTGCCTACACCGAAGACCACTCCCACTGCGGCGAGCATCCGGCCAAAAATTGGAGACGAGGCCAGCTCGGACTGGAGCTGCGATGCCTCCTTTGCTGCCTTTCGCTGCTTCAGTGAGCTAAGGCCTTCGCGCACAGCTCGCCTTCGAGACCCGTGAGCACGAGCACCCCGAAAGAGGAGAAGCACACAAGAGCGAAAGCAGAGATGGTAATGGCGGAGCTAGACACGCTGGTGCTCCAGCAGAAATCCAGCCAGGCCTCCTTCGCCGCATCCGCCTTCCTGGCAACAGTGGGTCTGGATTTTCCACTTGATCCAAGCGACAATCCGAAGCCTCTCCCTCCAAAAGTTCAGACATATTCGGGCCTGCTGGAAGCAAAGGAACGTGTTGTGCACTTCGTTGCACATGCCGAGGAGGTCCGGGAGTGAAAGACCTAAGCCCTTAAGACCCTGCAAGTCTCCACAAACATGTCATCATGTTTATAATATGTTTGTTTTACCGTAGCTGTTAGAGAGAGAGAGAGAGAGGGAGTGAGAGAAAGAGATAGAGAGAGAGAGAGAGAGAGCGCGAGAGGGAGACATAGAGGGATCAGATTAGATTAGGCTCGGTTAGTATAGGATGGCTAGACAGATGAACAGCCAACCAGAGACATGATAGACAGATACCCTGACGACCAAGAGCCTCTCCCGCGAAGTTGACCAGGAGATCGAGGACCTGGAGGATCCACAGGAGGCTTTGCAGAAGCTCATGAAGCTGGATCCTGGGTGGAGCTTTGCACTATTTTCCGGCTTCTTTGGGTGTGAATGTATTTCGGCAGCCGGCTCTTCAATGTGCATTGTGAAAAGTCTCCTTGAGCAGAAGCCTTAAACGGCTGACCCTGATTTTTGACCTAAACAGCGCAAAGACTAAGAGCCTTAAGAAAAACCCCAGGCCCCCAACAACATGAAATCCAAAAGCCCGAAACCTCCAATTTCCAGAGATGAACGACCCGAAAAAACCGCAAAGAAAGCTCGCCAGGATCGGGCTCTTGGATTCCTCGAGCACGTGTGCATCCTCGAGTCCTGCTTGCAAGGACTTGGGGTCAAAGTCTGCTTTCCAGGTTTTACCTCTTGGGGAATAGAGAGCTTAGGAGATGAGTCAGATATAAGGATACATACAGTGCTTTGGGTAACAGAGGACTTTCGGGTTTGCTTCGAAGGGTTCTGGAAAGGCTTCGTGACCATTCACATATGTCGACGCTTCAAGGGGTTGTACATTCAGGGGCTCAAGGTTGTGGAGATGGAGAGTTTCAAGGTTTGGATGTTTCAGAACTTCCGGAAAGCTTTAATTTGAGGTTTGGAGATTCGGGGACCGGGGGGCTTCAGGTTCTGTTTAGTTTTGCTGGCGTCAGGATTTCCGGTGTTCAGGAGTTCGCGGGTTCGGAGTTTAAGGGGCTGAAGCTTCAGATTCAGTCGAAGCATGCAGTTCGCAATGGAGTTGCAGCTGCTGTAAGCTTCGGGATCAGAGGAGGGCTGAGCGTCACTATCGGAATGGCAATATGTGATCATTGTGAACATCCAGATGCATCACGGCAGCAGCAACAAAACACATAAAGCCGTACTCTTGTTAATGCTAGAGTAGTGATAAATAAACACTGTAGGGCCCTACCTGTAATGGTAATTCTACTTTTACCCATGTCCCGCTGGCCAGGACCACCGGTGGAGCTCGAGCTTCCCTCGCGCGGCTCTGACTATG